CTGTACTCTCACTCTGTGGGCAAATACAACCAACAATCAGTGTTTATTCTAGTAGGGTAGTGGTCAAAGTGAGCACCCCACAGTACAAGAGCAGCGCTGATATTTAATCAAGAGTGATCTGGGCTTTACTCTACTCCAGGATTATCTGCATCACCAAGGTTTATGACCAGTTAGAAACCCATTCTTTTTAATATCTTGATTCTGGCTGTGAAATCTAGCCTGATATTTGTGTTAGTCTATTATAGGGTTTGACGCACTCTTCCCAGCTCTGTATTTAATTAAAACATCCCTGTGAGAAGAGTGTGAACGAGAGGAGCTGCTGGCCACCGAAAGCTCCGTTCTCGAGACGGAGTGACTGCGAGTTGCCAAGAACTGTTAGGTTCAAGCGATCCACTGTTTTGAGTACAATTAAGACCAATTAAAATAACCCGATTTCCCAGAAAGCATTAGCAACAGCTTCTTGTTGCTATCCCCATCCTCTCTGGTTGTTTTCCCAATGTAAGAATGGCCAGCGAAGCAGATGGTGTCAGCTAGAAGCTACTTTCTCCTTCCAAAATTTTGGCCGTGTTTGTAAGGCTGTTTAATGCTTTGAATGGCTTTTGTAAAACATTGATTGACCAGCTGTGTGTTGAATGGTGTGTGCCATCTAGTGGTGGAACATGTAATGGCACACCATTTGCACATCTGCTGACAAGGGGAGCCTTACATTAGGACTCTCAAACCAAAATGAAGCCGTTCTTTCCTCTCGAGTTTCTCCAATTAGCTAACTTAAGAGTTAACTTTGGCCTAAGTAGTTGTGTAATGTGTTGACCTGTTCGACTGCAATTTGTCGCTCTTTATGCAGGAGCTGGGGGCTGCATTAATACTGCTATTGCGGGGGTTTGGGAATTTTCTGTAATGAATAAAGCTTTATTTTGATAAAGAATTTAATAAAGTTCTGTTGCCCTGAAGGTGTGTCGTTAAATCATAATGCAAAATTTGGCCCGGTTGACTGTCTGATGTGTTGTCGGGCTGCAATATTAATGACCAGCCCTAGAGTCAAAACACAATTATGCAAAGTTGTTAAATGGTTTTTAATTAGATTTTAGGATTTTAATTACTTTCAATAACAAATGCACATCCGTGTTATACAGGGCCTTACACTATGAAGCCACTTCAGACTGTTGGATCTGTAATACAATAATCCCAATTCAGTCATTATTATTTTAACAATATCCTTCCAGAAAAGTCTTTGCTGGCAAGTTTGGTTTGGGCTTTGTACCGACCTCTTTATGACCCTTTTAAAGCATTATACGCTCTTTGTTATTAAAGGTTTGTGTATTATTATAGATGATTCATTCCCATGACACACCTCCATTCAGATCAAACCTCCCATTCCATCCCAACTGTTGCAAAAAGCAGTGTGCAGCCTGCAGCCCCGGGGCAGTGCTATAATGGCTGGGTAAGCGCAGGACCGGGGGGCTGAGAGATTAACCATAGAGTGAGGAAACCTGCGGGAAGTTCTGCTTTATGGCAGCTCCTCCGCGGAGCTCTGCTCGTTAACACTCATCCTGCTCCGCATGGCATATGGAGACCCATCTCTCCCCCTGCGTGCTCCATCTCATAAACGTCTATCCCTGCTGTAGCCAAAAAGATAAAGCACATCTGTTAGGAAGTGAGTGAAGGCGGAGGGGAGAAGTGGTGTTTTTTAAATTGTGTTTGAGGTCAATACAGTCAGACTGATCAGGTTTAAAGATGTATCTAATGGATTGCTTCATGAAGAGCAGAATTCACAGTGAGATTCAGCAGACCCTGCTGGATAGACCAGCGTGTGTTGGGTTTTGTATTCTGGTAACCAGCATGGGATTGCCTATGTTTTGCTGTCAGTATTGGATTGATTGATTAGCTCAACCAGCAAGACTACTTTAGTCCACCATCTTTACCAGAAAAGTCACTTTTTCTCTTGTTTCACAGATCTGTACTAGTTCATACTTTTCGGAGCAGTTCTGGAACTTTAATTTGCAGCACTTTTCATGTTACTATGTTACACTCTAAAATGAAATCCTGTTGTAGTGATTCATTTATAAGTTGCATTGATTAAAGGTGTCTACTAAATAATATAAATGATTCAATTAGCAGTTGAGGCATTAAAGAGTTAATTCACCATCCAGAAATGTCATTCCAAAATCTGCATGATTTTCCTTCGTCTGTGAAACATAAAACGCATATTTTAAAATGTTTTTTTTTTTTGTCCATACAATGAAAGTCCATGGGGTCCAATGTTGTTTAAAGCCCAACATTCTTAAAAATATAATCTTTTGTTTCTGCAGAAGAAAAAGTGACAGGTTTGAAAACACTCAAGTTTGGAAGTTTTCCCAGATCCCCTGATTTTAATCACCTTTTGTGCCTTCTTTAGTTCAGGTTAATGGTTCTGTGGTGTGGCAAATGATTTTTTTAAAGTACATGTTTTTAAAGGGGTCATATGATGCGATTTCAATTTTTCCTTTCTCTTTGGAGTGTTACAAACTCTTGGTGCATAAAGAAGATCTGTAAAGTTGCAAAGACTAAAGTCTCAAATCCAAAGAGATATTCTTTATAAAAGTTAAGAGTCAGCCACGCCTACCTAAAACGGCTCGTTCTAACACACCCCCACATACCTACGTCACGATCTGGGAAAATTTGCATAACGCCGCCCAAATGTTCAAGCAAAGAAAGAAGGCGTAACTTTTATCCTCGCTGTAGTATTGT